TGTTTGTTTCTCCAGATTACTCTAAGCATTTCATTACTTTCCATTTGCTTGTCACTAGAAGTTCATTTCCACAAATGCGTAACAGGAGCTCAGACAGTCCACCCCCACTAATCCTTCCAGCCTTCAGAGCAGCTCCGCCAAATGCAGGGAGCATAGAAGCTGTGGAATACTTTCCCAGTGATGGTCCCATTTTGAGCCGTTTTCAGTAATTATTACTAGCTCTGAAGGGCGTTGCAGAGGTCAGTGATAAATTCCTCGCTTCCTGGTTTTCACAGAATTGACTGTAAGTAAGCTCAGTGTTACGGAAAAGCAGCTGGTAACAGTATTTCTGCATTAATTACATTGTAGAGGACTTAATTGTAGCTAAGGACAAGCCTATGCAATCAGGCTTTTTCCCATGCTCACAGCCTCTCCCTCTTGCCAATGAGCTCCACTTTTGTCTTGTGAGCCTGCTGTGACTTCAGTCGAGATGTTTCTGTGCTAAGAGATTGAAAAATAGTAACATTGCAAAATCCAGATTTAGAAAGATACAGGCTTGGAAACAGCACATTGAAGGCACCTTAGTTAAAATACTTAGTTCTTCTGTGAGGTCTTCAAATTTAGGTGGGGTGGAAATGACTGCAAAGAATCACATGGAGTTCCGTGTGTCAGAGCAAGGATGGGAAGTCTGTGAGAAGCAGCTGCAAAACCTCTGCTGGGCTGCTTGTTGCTGCAGTGCCTGTAAGATGCCTTTCAGCCAGGCAGTAGTGTGGAAGGCTGTCAGCCTGCTAAAAATGAGCTTGAATGGCTTGCTGTGGACTAACAATGCAAATAATAATCCACCTATGTCTTCAGTCTTGCTTCTCTAAAAGTAGAGAAATGGGAGGCGTGTCCTTTTGAAATAGTCCCAGAACCACGCTTTCAGTATTTTACACAGAATGGTTTTATGCTGCCGTCTCAAAGTGGTCTGTGTGTATGCTGCTTGTACAGGTACTCTCATGGCTCTTAAATTTTGGTGGTGTGCTTTTGTTTTTTTAAACTTACAAACTTTGATTCAAGACCTTTACCCTCAAAGTGCTGCATGTGTGTTTGCTTCCCAAACGCATGCTTTGCTATTTGGCCACAAGTATTAACTTGACCTATTGGTGTGAGGAATCTTAGCCTTCCAAGATTGATTTCTTATGTTCACCATTTTTCTTTTTTTTTTTCTTTGCAAATCTAATGTTCTGATGAGATAGCAGAAGGCAGGGTACTGAGAAATTAATTTGGGGATGTCTACATGTCTGAAATGAAATCTGGCGCTCTAAAAAATAGAGTAGCAGAGAAATCATCAGTATTGGGAGCACTGTAAGTAGTTTTTGTTAAATAATAGCTTACATAAGGTATTTTTGTAGTAGTACCAGTTGTAAGATGTCCAACATGAAATCCATCTTTATTTGGCTGGTGCCAATTGCTTGACAGCGTGTGGGATAAATCAAATTACTTAGTCTTGCGTATAATAGACTGATGTCTGCACCACTGTAAGAGCTTTATTATAGTTGGCGCTGGGAAGCGTACAAACAGAGCTGCCTTTTGGCTGATAGGACAGGGCTTGTGCCTGCTCTGTACTTAAGCTGCAAGGAGAGAGCTTCCGTTTTTCAGAGCACTTCAAATTAGCAGCAAATTAGCGTACTGCTAAAACTTGTGAGGAGGAAAGGAGTATATGAGGCATTTTGAAGGGAACTCATACGCTAGAAGCAGAATAATTCTGTATCATGCGAAAGCCTGTAATCCCTATCTTCCTACCCAGAAGACAGGGTAGGCAGCTGGGTGGGGTTTTACTGCTTAGTTTCCACAAATATCGTAAAGCTGTAATCTGCCAAGCATGGTCCCCTGGATCAGTCTGGTACTCCAATTCACCACGAGGCCACACAAACACTTGTAGGAACACAGCTGGTACCTGGGCAGCTTGGGGCAGATGAGTAAATAGGGGCAGTGGTCCAACACTACCACCCTTTCTGGCTACCCATACCCTCCCTCGATTGCGTATCAGGTCATGGTCTAATACGCTAAGCAGAACTGAGGGCAAAAGAGGAGGCCCTGCTAACACAGCCACTTATACGCAAGGCGCTTGCTGCCAGCACAGTAGAACGAAGCGGCTGTATTTAGGTAGCGATTATGTTAGCCTGCTGCACAGTTGTGCTTGTTAAAAGTAAATCGTGACAAACACAAATCACTTCTGACCAACAGAATCTGTATGAGTGTTAACAGCAGGACAACTGCTAGGGCTTAAAAACACTGTCACATGTAGCTGATATACTGTTGTCAGAGTATCGTCCGAAGCTGCCTGCAGTCCAGCAGAGCTTCTTCACAGTGGGCTGTAGATCCAGTCCTCTGGAAATGGATTCCAGCAGTGCTACTTGCACCAAAACTCTCCTATGCAGCTTTGCATGCATTTACTAGGAATTTGGTTTTATATTTGTTAACAGACATGCTATTGTATCCATATTAAAATGTACAGAGAACTATTCTAAGCTTTATAGCTGATCAGCTTCATATGTTTGGGCTGCGTTGGTGTGGAACAATACTGACATTCAGTGGTTGATTATACTTGCCGCTGTTGTGTGACTATCCAGGAGATTTTGGAGGGTTTTAATGTTCAGTGCTGGCTAAATTCAGAACATGTTTAGTTGAACTGGATTAAAGCAATTGTGTCAAGGCTCCTTTATAAGAATGCTGTGGCCACAGTATTAAAATTGTTTTGTCAACAAACTAAATTAAGAGATTAATTTGGTCTGAGAGAGATACAGTAGAAACATGCAGTCACACTTTGTAGCTTTGTTTCCTTCCCGCTCTTAAGCAAATTGGCAGTCACAGTTTCCAAAAGAACTTCCTGTTATATACCATATTGGCTTAGTTGGATTTTTCTGTCTACGTGTTTGCTATTCGTCTTTTTGTGTCTACCACCAAAGACAGGGTGCTCTTAGCAGGAGATATCTAAGACCTGGCAAGGCCTCCAATGAAGATGAGCGTGTTGTTGTCATGCATGTGAAGGAGCAGCTGGAGTTTAGAATTTGAAAAGCTGGATCTTGTCTCCCTTCCTGTGTCTGCTGACTTAGGTGGAGGGAAATACCATGCTAACTACCTTCTTTAGTAGGCCTTTTTCACCTTCTCCGGTGAGCTGTGGAAGACATACTTTTGTTTTGTCAAAATCTGCAGGACCAGACCATTTTTCAGTGTTCCATTGTTTTGGGAGGTCAGCCTAGAACTCTGGGCAGTTTAGATTCAGACACAGCAACAAGAGCTCACTCTGGGTGGAGCTAAGTGCTTGTTCCAGTATTTTGGAATGAGGCTTAATCATACGGTGTTTGGACTCCTTAAAATCCCTGTGGGACTGGGCCATTTACATTTAGATGCTTCTCTGCCATCTTCACATTTGTGTGCCAGAGTTACCATTAGCAAAGGGGCAAATTTTATCTGCATTTTATGGCACGGTCCTGGCCAAACATGCTAAGATTAATTAAAACTATTATAGGTTTTTGGTAGGTGTGTTTGGCTTATGGACATGCAGAGTTGATGGTGGTCTTCCTGTTTCAAGGTGAGGATGCCCAGTATCTGTTTGGCCTCTTCCCAGTCATATATGAATTCTTCCGAAGGCTAAATAAACTTCAATTCAGGGTAGCTCCATTGCTAACATCTGCCCATTTCCACCACCTCCTCTACACCAGCTGTTAGCACTCTCTGGCAATGTAATAACTTGCATCACAAAGCTGATCTGACCAGAAGCTCCTTTTTCTGGGTCAATTTATGGCAGGACCAGTTTGCTAATATAGGTAATTGCAGAGCAGACCTGCTTAAATCAGTACCTGGAAGGCAGAAGGGATGAATAGCCAATGGCAGGGGCAGCTTCTTCAACTACAGAATGAATTTATGCAGGATAGAAGTACTAGGTTGACTTCATCTTGAAGAGCCAGCGCGTGGGTTACAATTTGTTTGTTTTGTTCTCTAAGCCTGAGTTTAAACTTGGACCTTATTTTTGTCAGAGGATGGTTATGCTGCAGGTCGGCCAAAGCATTATATCTGTCTCATGTAAAGGCTAAAGAGATAAACTGAAGTCTGATAGCATGTGTCTCTTCTATAGCTGTGGAGAAAACAGTTTATTCACTTTGTTGAGTCAACTGTTTAGTCCACTTACTATCTCACTGAAAGTTGAGGAGTAGACTTGGAATTAGTTTTAAAAAAAGGTAGATAAGCTTCTTGTCCCATGAATAAAATGAAAGATTGGTGGCCAAGGCATGTTATTTGTAAGTCTTTAAAGATACAAGAAAAAAGTTACGTTCCTTATCTGCAGTTCATACGCCCCTTTTTCAGAAGTGAGTTAGTTTTTAAGTGTAAAACATTTTATGTAAACGTATTTCATGTGTGCCAAGCACATGTAAGGCAATTTACACATATTTTCAATGAATTCCAACCCTTTATCCAGGTGCAGCTTGGCATAGATCAGAAATAAGACTAATCAGCCAGCAAAAAAAAAAAATCCACCCCAAAAAAACCCTTTTCTAGTTCAGTAGCTGAAAGCTGACAAGCTAAAGAGCTATATCTTTTAAGATAGCGCAGTTCTTTGTTTATGTGTGTAAATGTTATGGGAACTTCTCTGCCATAGGAATCTCTGTGTATAAGTTACCCTTACATGTTGCCAAACATGTTTAGGTGAGTGCCAGCTCATGAGAGTCAGCTTTTCTGTCAGAAATAAATTACAAATATCAAATAGGGGTGAAAGCGGAAATCAAGGGTGCTGGCTTCTTGCTTACATTGTGATACATGTTAGTGACTTAATCCACTGTGAAATACTTTGTGGTGGGACATTCCCCTAAGTAAAGAAAATGCAATTTAAAGAAAAGCAGCAAAGCAGATCTTTTTCTGAAATTCACAGTGCATGTTAATAAAGAATAACCGTTGTAAGAAAGGGGATCTGGGAGAAGAAACAATATCAATCCTCATATCCTTTTGTTTAACCTCTTTGAATGTGTTTCCAACAGAAAATGATCCACAGCCTGTTTCTTATAAACTGTTCTGGTGATATATTCTTGGAGAAGCACTGGAAGAGCGTTGTGAGCCAATCTGTGTGTGATTATTTCTTTGAGGCTCAGGAGAAAGCAATCGATGTTGAGAATGTGCCTCCTGTCATCTCAACGCCACATCACTACCTCATCAGCATCTATCGGGATAAAATCTTCTTTGTGTCTGTCATACAGACAGAAGTGCCACCACTCTTTGTAATTGAATTTCTGCACCGAGTAGCAGATACTTTCCAGGTCTGTCATCATTAAATAATTTTAAAATTGAAATAATTCAAAGGGAATTTTTGTATAAACTTATTTTAAAGAAAGGTATTAAACCTTCCTGTCAGTGACTTTCCCCTTTGCAATTTTTAAGTCAAGCACTGGTTTATAGAGTACAAAGGAAAAGAAGGTATATTTGGTATATTAATTTGATTTATAGTTACCAGTGCACATGCACTAAAACCCAAATCCCACTTTGTAAATGCTGCCTTTTTTCTATAAGGTTTTGTACTGTTCATGTTACATAGATGAAAAGGAGCATGCAGTCATGAACACTCTATAGGGAGGAAAGAACTGCAAAGCGTGGAGTCAGTTTTCAACCTATTTCATAGATACTGTAAATAAAGGAGCCTCTGTGAAGGTCGAGCATTGCCAAAAGATAGTCTCCTTATTTTACAAGAGTCTTCTAAGTGAAGATATGTTAACGTTCACAAGTGGAAGAACCTTTGGGACCTATATACTAGTAAACCAGATTACATTCATTTCACTGTTCATGCTGTCTTTATTTCTAATATAGATGATAAATGTAACCTTAACATATGATGCCATCAGACTATAGAAGTAGCTAGTCAGTTTAGGCACTAAAATTCCTCGATATGTTGGAGGATTTTTGTAAGCAAAAAGCCCCCAAACTTTTGCAAAGCATTTTAACAGAAATAAAAAACATCTCCTTTGTAATCTCTGATTTGTTTAGGATTACTTTGGCGAATGTTCTGAGACTGCAATTAAGGACAATGTAGTTATTGTGTATGAACTTCTAGAAGAAATGTTAGACAATGGCTTTCCACTGGCAACGGAATCTAACATATTGAAGGAGCTGATTAAGCCTCCCACAATTTTGCGCTCTGTTGTCAACTCCATCACAGGTATGAAAATAAATAATTTTCAGCGGTGACTGGCTGCTTGAAAGCAAAGCCCCATCATGCTTCATAGCTAAAAAAATAATATCATATTTGTGTGAATCTGTAAGGTGAGGCCACTGTCCTGCTAGTTCTCACAATTAAGAGTTGAATAAAAGCAGCTTCTTCGTTATTTGCAGTTTATGCCTGGCCCCTTTGATAACCCCAGTGGCACCGTCTGGTCCAGCCACAGCTGCTGGAGTCCCTCAGGAATGGCAGTTCCCAGCACAGACAGCACATACTGGAGACAGGTGCTCTGGGATTGGCCCCAAGCCTTGAATAACTGAGGGGCATTGGAGAAGGCTATGCATTTTTTAAGAAATCATTGCAGAAAGGTATATAGCAGATCTCTAATAAATCTTTGGTGGCTGGGAACAGATAACACGAAGGGAAGCAAATAGCCTGCCCTCAGCCTCCTCCCTGCGCCTACCAGCATCAGCATCCATCAAGTTCAGAGCTGGTTTTTGGCTGTTGTAAATGTGTATGTCTTGCACTGACAGAGCCAAATGTCTGTCAGCTGAGCTGGTGGAATCTGCTTGTCTGGCAAGTGGGTGCAAGAGAGGTACACCATGAGGTGTCACGTGGGATCAGGGGTATGCGAGGTGCTCGCCTGTACCTTGTGTTAGAGAAGGGCGGTAGGTGGGCTGCAGGGCCACACAGAGGCAGTGCTCGGAGGAGCTGGACTTCAAGGTAGCACATGTGGTTTAATCTTTGAGTATAAATCTTGTCAGTTTTAATTTCTGTCTTTTGGGTTTTGATTGTGATTTTTTGAAATGTGTTTTTGGATGGTAGTTATGAAAAATATCTTGACGTTAATGGACTAGATGTGCTACTGTAAGGGGAATTAAGACTCCTGAAGCCAAGGATTGCAGCATCAAATCCTCTTGTTTTATCTAAAGCCTTATTAGAATTCCCTGGGAGCCTAAAGTGCCTGCCCAGGGCAGCCTACATCTTGTCACTGTTAACAGCCCAGCGCTGAGCGGGTGGGAAACGGCAGCGTGAGGGCTCTGCTGCCTGCCTGGCCTGGCAGCCCAGGCTGCATAGCGCTGCTGCACCCTGCAAGGCTGCTGAGGGACACAGCAACTGCTCCCCTCCAGAGATGCAGTGGGAGTGAGAAAATGGTTGCAACTCCTCCCCCATGTGTTATAGCGCCAGGGTGGTCTTTAGGGAGGGTTTTTTCTGTGTGAGTTATTTTACTAGCTCAAAAGAATGAAAACTTCTGTTTGCCTGCTAGGAGAGGGCCTACCCAGCAGGTTGTGTAAAAATTATAACTGCTGGCTGTCAGCCTCTGAGGGAAGCTGTGTCACACAGCAGGACACACTGCCACCTTCATTGTGCTGAAGGACACAAGCAAGCGTGAGCTGTAGCTCTGTCCTGAGACCTACTTCTGGCAAAGGGAGTTGTTTCCACTATACTGGGATTCCAAGATCGGTCACCTAAGCCTCAGAAGTGCTAAGATTATTTTTTTTCTTTTTAAACAATCATCAGTTTACTTTATGACTAGGCAGCTCAGGAAGCCCTTGGGTGGTATTAAGAACCAGGAGCCAAGGGTGACAGCAAGGCAGGCAGGGGCATTGGCACCGCTGTTAAGAAGCCCAGAAGTTGAGCCAACAGGTGAGGGTCAGGATCGGGATCAGATGATAACAAGGACATCTACTGGTCAGTGATTGCCAGCAGAGCCCACCATGATGAGATAGGTCAAGCCTATGGGCCAGGGCCTGGGTCGATTTGGCACGTGGTCAGGTGTAGACGTTTGCTATGCAAAATACGCTCTGAAAAATCCAAGCCGGAACATATCCTTAAAGTGTATTCATGTCACCTAGTGAATGCAACTTTAGTGGTCCAGGTTCTAGTCTGCAGTTCTTGGTGGCAAATCTTGCTTTGATTATTAATTTTGGCAGCTGAAACTTCCCTCTTGTAATTAATTACCGATTTTGAGTTCCTTTTCATTTTTAAGGCAGTAGTAATGTGGGTGACACACTTCCCACCGGACAGTTGTCCAACATCCCTTGGCGCAGAGCAGGAGTAAAATACACAAACAACGAAGCCTATTTTGATGTCATTGAAGAAATTGATGCGATTATAGACAAATCAGGTAAGATGCCTTGCAAACTCATTTTTGTTTCTTGAATGTGTTTATGTTTAGCTGCTGGTGTTTAGAAAGAATACAGTCCAACTGCTTTTTTGTGTGTGTTTTCTGTACAGGAATCTAGATCTTAAATAGAAATATACAATTTAAAATGACATGCCCAAATGTATTTCTTCGTCTTAAAATAGCAATATGCTCTAGGCTGCTTCAAGAACATCCCCAAGAAATATTCTGTACTTCTGTTTGTATATTGATTATCTCTTAGGAGATATAAATAGAAAAAAATAGTTGAAAATTTAAATGTGATAAGAAAATTTTCTTCCATTGTTCCTGCCAGCAATTTACTGTAGTCCTTGTAGGCCCTCAAGTGAGCAAGACAAAAGCTTTCATTAGCTTTCTTCTGATAGCAAGACAAAACATGGTGCAAAATAGCTGGACAGTATTGTTTTTCTTATATATAAACTGGAGCCAGATATTATGAAGCATAATAATACTCTTTTCTGTAAATGAAACATGATAGCTTTAAATAAAAAAATCTTTAATCTGAGATTCAACTCTGCTAACTTTTGTGTAAATGTTACCAGTGCCAAGAAGTAGAAAAAAACTGATGCAAAAAGAAAACTGCTGTTCTGTGGACCGAAGCCCATGGTTTTGTTCATTATTGGGGCCATCAGTTACTAAAGCTGGATGGAGACTGCATGACACAATGTTGTGGTGGTATGGGGCAGGGAGCAAATCTCCAGTTACTTCATTCAGTGCTGCTGTTGTAGCAGTAGTCAGTCAGTGTTGGTTTGGTTCCATACCCCAGTGCATCAAACGCTTTGGCCACCGTTGAACTGGACAGTCATAAATGGCTGTTGTGCAGCTCTTACTCTCGCTGTCTTGAAACTCGAAGAAAGCGGCAGTCACAGTCAGAACACCCTGATGGCTGTGTTACTCTCCTTAGCTCAACAGGATTCCCAGGAGCAGTAGGAGTGCTTAGTCTGAGGAGCTAGAATCAAGACTATTTCTGTATTTCTGTATGTATTTCAAGCCAAATCAGTGTCCACGGAGTGTTTAAATTTCCTACTGTGGATCCACTGCAGTAGGCATCTGCTCTGATCCCTTGGGGACTAGCGATGCAAGAATCTTCCTTCCTAACCTTCACTAGCATTAAGAAGTAGATAAGGTTGCTCCCCTAGAATGGGGATGTTATCTTGTTTCACAGGGATATGGTTAACTACTTTCATCTGAAACAGGATCCCTTCTTTTCAAGCAAAGTATTAACCCACAGTTTCTCCTTCCCCTTGACTAGATCAGCAATAGTTTATACATATCTTCTAAAATAACCTCTGCTTGTAGAGCTAATTAGTCCAGAGTTCTGCTCGTGCCTTTCTGTCCTTACAGGGCATTTAAGGAAATGAACCTTTCCTGGGTAAGATGCCTGGTATTCTTGCTTTGGGTTTGTTTTCGGTTGTTTTGTTTTGCTATAGATGTATTTAACATCCAGATGAATAAGTAATCCCACTGTTAAACAAGCCATGGTTGTGAAAGCCAGGGTTATCTGGAGCTTTATAGCACAGAATTACTGTGTTTTGATGTGCTTCAACTTCCCTGCACCACTACACAACTTGCTAGTTTTCTGGAGACAGGGATGAAAGAAAGGAGGATTCAGAGCTTGCATATTCTGAAATTCTTATTTGCTCATTGCTGACAACCAGTTCAAGCACATCCAGTACAAGTCCTGTGTAACAGCTGGCACAAGCATAGTTAGCTGATTTGGGACAAGCTGTTTGCTTTGGCTCACGTACTTTAGCAGGCTGGCCAGGCCACAGGTAACTGGAGTGACCTTTCCTGTCTGTGCTTGGCATGTGTTTGAGTGTTGTGCAAATGTCATCTCTGCCCTCTAGCTGCACTTCACAACGTTTGTTAGGCCCTTGATAATCGTGTTAATTCAAGTGTTTTGTTTTTTTTTTCCCGCCGCAGGTTCCACAGTCTTTGC